ACGGCAAAGGATTGATGTTACCTGGATAAGAGGATGCGGGTGTTCATTTTACCTCTACTGCAACTTTAATGAAAATTAAACATTTTTCAAATCAAAATTGGAGAAAAGTTTTAATTAAATAAAATTTAAAAATAAAATAACATTTATCATATGTCTTGTTACTTTAGGTGCGATCCTTAACCCTGTTTGTCACCCATTATCCGCCAGTGTGTGAATTAGAGAAACGTTACTCCCAGCAGGCGGGGAACCACCACATGGGCTTCTTGGTCGGGGAGGGTGAGCGCGGACCCGAGCCAGGTATGGACCGTCCCGCGGTAGGTGCAGCCAGGATGGGGTTGGCTTTCGTGTTTGATAACTTAAAGTTTATAAGAACATGAACTTACTGTTCATTAATAATAAAAGCTGTGACTGTTGATCGTAAATGACATTTGTCCAAATGTTGTCTACGCTTTGGGCCAGATGGAACTCGCCCGTCCTTGCCGTCTCTGAGTCTCCCCTTATTCCTGACTCGCTTTTTCACAAGAAGAGGGTGGGGTGGGGACAGCAGGTTTTCCTCTGAGACTCATCTCAGGAGAGATGCCCTGACAGTCAGGGCTCGAGTATAATGAGCCGTCTTTTGAAATGCCCAATATTTTCCCAAAACATTATTTAGCATTAATTACTCACTAAGAGCCATACTCCGTGTGGACATAAGGACACNATGCCCAATATTTTCCCAAAACATTATTTAGCATTAATTACTCACTAAGAGCCATACTCCGTGTGTGAATCTGACAGGTGAGTGGCTGCCGTGCTGGCCACCTGGGTGGGGCTGGCCGAGCCCGGAGTCCGTGTCCTCGCTGCCGGTTCTCTCTCCACTCGGCTGGACCGCTGCGTGGCATCTACAGTGTTGCCCCAGCCTTTCCGATTACTCATTTAGCGTCACAGGAATGAGATGTTTCATTAAGAAGAACACCATTAGCCAACAGAAACAAATCCAAGTGCGGTGTGTAATGTAGTAAACCTTAGCGCGAGTGCCTTCCTGTGGTGGCAGTTTTTTAAAGCCACCAGTATGTCGGCCCGTGATGGTTTGCACAGTCGATGTGCTGCAGTGGAAAGTCCATTATCCAGGACACTTCAGAGTCCAAGTTTTGTTTTGGAAGAGCAACAAGTATGGACCTGAAAAAGAAATCGGGCCACGAACCCAAATAAAACAATGCACTGGGCCCAAGATAAAGTAATGTGAGGCAGCCCTGGCCTTTCACCACCATGCAGGCTTGAAAAACACGTTATAAGTTCCCTCGTGGAAGCAGTTTCATGTCTATTAATCTGCATCCAAAGTGACAGGAGGAGCTTCTAGGCTAAAACCCAGTGGGATAAGCAAAACAGGTCCAGTAGGGAAGGGTCGGTGATAAGTATTTGATGTGAACTGACTAACCCGGAGCCTTACATCTTGTGTTTGGCATTTCATTTTACTGATTTGGAATTTTGTTTGTGAACATAATTTTAAAAATTAAGTGATGCTTCAAGGCTCGAGCTACCAGGCGGCAGTCCCTGCGCCTGAGCCTTCCCCGCACGCACCCTCCCATCTCCGTCAGAGCTCCTGCTTTCAGCCCTCCCCTTAGCTTCTGTTTGCTTCCTCTCGGCTCATCGGCTCGGCTGAGTGCTGACCGACTTTCCATTCTGTCAGACGAGCCTCTGGCTTTCCCCTCACCCTCGCCCCAGTGCAGTTGCATTTTTTTATTTCGTTCATGTTCCTTATTTTCAGTTATTGCCAGTAGGTATTTCTTTCTCATGAACCAGGTGTGAAGGCAAAGTGCACTTTCTTTCACAACATTTTCTGTTTTCTTAAAGGTAATAATTGCCTTGTTTTTATTTTTTCATTTCATTGTTTTATTTGAGCCTGTGGTTGAATCTCCCATATCCTCCAGTAGCTTTGTAAAACCCCTCTAGACATTTCTCTCCATGACTGAGTCTGCTGGTTCCACCTTTCCCCACTGGGGTCATTCCTCCCGGAGCCCCCTGTTCTCCTGCCCATCTGACCTGATTACCCCCTCGGCCGCCCAGCTGTTGCCCTGAGACCTGCCATCCCGCCATCCTAGGAATTCTCTTACCCTCTCTACTGCGCATTTGATTGCAAGTAACAGAGCACTGGACTCACGCTGGCTCCAGCAGTACAGCTGTGTGCAGCCTCCCTTCACAGAAGCCTCCAAGGAAGAGTGGCCTCAGCTCCTCTTCGCAAATCTCCAGGCTCCGACTCCTGTTCTGCTGGCTTCGCCGTCGGGCCAGTGGCAAGACGGCGGCAGCCCTTTCGGGAATTGCATCCAGACTTGACGGTGTCCAAAGGCAGAGAAGGGTCAGCATCCCCTGCGACTCTGTCTTAGGAGCAAAGGACCTTTTCTCAGATGCTCACACTAGCAGCTCGTCACTGTCCCATCTCCTTTTCAGAATTGAATCACATGCTCATTCTTAAATGCGAGAGGGGCAGGGTGGCTTTGATCTGCCTAGATTGTAGTCAGGGTCAACTGAGAGCTGGATACGAGAACACTTCCCTGAGTTAAATGCTCAGGGAGCTAATTCCTTTGCCTGAGTGAGTCAACGTGTCTCCATTATATCTTATACTTGATTTATAATTTAGCAAGGGCTAGAATTTTAGGTTGAAAATCATTTTCACTCAGATATTTGAAGCATTGCTCCATCGCCTGCTCACTTCCAGTGTTATTCCATCTGTTACCTCTAACCTAAGTCATCTGTCTAAATTAGGGGCCATTATAGCTCATCAGTAAAATGCTCCAAGTCCCCTTTTGAGTGTCTTCCAGGACGCTGTGTTTATCCATTTACCATGACCTGGTGGATAAAGCAGTGGACCTGAGAGAAACCTGTGTTTTAGGCTGTTCCAGTCTCTAAAATCTGGGGCAAGTCTCCCACCTCTACATTTTAATGGGTCTGTCCTCAAAGTGGCTTCAGAGCCTATATGATCAGGATGCGTCCCTTTAATAACTGCCTGTAGGAGTTTGGCTGTAAAACGATCCCACTGCTTCCCTGTAACAAGCAGAACGTGGGTCACAACTTCCCGACTCCCTCCCGCTGTGTCAGGCGGGCTTTTCAGGGCACCCATGTGAGAGTGTCACAGCTGAGAAGTGCCGTTCTTACCACGGCTTTCCGTTGTGGGCCGTGGAGAAGTGGGCTGTGCTCTCCGCCTCCACGTTCCCGCTGCACCGGTGCACACGCCCCTGCCCGTCACGGGGCAAAGGACGGGCGGAGCCCGCTTAGATAGAACGTGCCCCGGGTGGTGCTGGAAGAGCGGTCACTCACTCACTTTGATGGTGTGAAAACTACCGTAACCAGTACTGAGGTATGTTAGTAAGTTATTCAGAACAATGTAACATTTTATATACTTAGCTGCTTGATAGCGATATGAAATGTAAAAAGCACTTTATAGCTGTATATACTATATATTATATATAAAGCAAAAAACATGTCGGCAAGGCAAGGTTTAAGTAAGGGGTTTTGTGTCTGTCCATCTGTCCGTTTATAATCGACAGATAGATGAATGAATCTTTATCAGAAAGACCAGCATGAGGCTAGGTCATAGAGGTGAGTCCAGGGCGCGGGAGATCAGTTAGCACTAACCCAGTGGAAGTGATAAAGAGAATGTTTGTCTGCAAGAGGAGAAGAGCTGCTTTCTTCACAGCCGACGGCTGCTCACGTCCCTCCTGGTCCGTGAGCACGCAGGTGAGACGTGGGGTCGCAGGCACTGGCTTCCCCGTGCCTCCGTTCCTTGTCTGTTCCCGCCCACTTCCTCACCTGTTCTTTGTGTTCCTTAAGTTTTACTTGGAGGCAGAAGGTATTTTTGGTGCTTTGTAACGTGAGTTTTAGTCTATGTCTTTGCACCTCCCACTGCCAGCACCCACCATTAGAAAGGTATTATTTTCCTAAAGGAAAATTCCATTATCCAGTTTTTCTGTTGTGTTCACTCTTTTGATGTTTTAATTTTTAGCTGATGAAAGACTAATGCAGACACATTTATCACATGTGTATGAGGGGATCAGAAATCATTGTAAAGTGGTTCCTGGTGGACATTTTTGCAACACAGTGTAATTATATTGAATTTTATAATAAAAGTTGCATAATCCTGAGTTGCTTTAGGTTTATCAAAGGTTAAACTGTATGCAGTATTGTGTTTGTATTATTGTATTTCATTACATACCAATTCTTTAAAAGTTTTTCATCCATATGCATGTACGTGTGTAGAAGCCTGGGTTCCCCAGGAAGCTGAACCTGAGATTTACGTACCAGAGGTTGCTGAATGGTGCAGGCACGGTCCCCGCCTGAGGGCAGGATGGGCTGAGAGGCAGCCAGAAGGCTTCAGCAGCCCTGCAGAGAGCTCAGGCTGGGCTGGTCCTTCAGAGTTCCCGCAACTTGGGGTGAGGGACTCAGGCCTTAAACCCGTTATCAGTTATCCATTAGAGCCTAACAAATTACCCCAAACAGAGCAGCTTAAAATAGCAAACATATATTATCTCCTAATGCCTGTGGGTCAGGAATCCAGGGACAGCTGAGCTGATACTCTGCCTGAAAACCTCTCACGGGCTACCAGCAGGTGTTGACGGGGGGCAGCCCCTTCAGGGTGTGACTGGTGAAGTCCGCCTCCCGGCCTGCAGCGGCTGCTGGCCGGCCGCCGGGCCCTCACGGGCTGCGGGCCAGAGGCAGGTCCTTCCCATGTGGGCCTCTGCACACAGCAGCCCACGGCAGGGCCACTGGCTTCCCTCGGAGCCAGCAAGAGCCCCCGAGACAGGCCACGATCTTTTGTGTCTAATCTCAGATGTGACATCCCATCGTTTTTGCCGTATTTTACTCATGGAAGCAGGCCACTGGGTCGGACCTGCACTCAAGGAGAGGGGGTGACGCGTGAACACCAGGAGGCAGGGATCTCAGAGGCTGCCCACGACCCGCCCAGCTACCAGTCACTGGATGCAGGCTGCCCCGGACGATGGGTCGTGACCGTGGGGAAGCAGCTCCCCTCAGCTGAGGCAATTCCTAAGGAGGCAGGAGCTGGGGGCCTGGCCAACAGCTTTTCTAACAGTTGGGGCAATAAAGCCATCCTTCCCAAGTGGGACCTGGGTGCTACTGATCAGCACCCACCTCGACATGTACTTGGTTACTAGGATACTTAATAAACCAGAATTTCTCTGTCTTACTTAAACTGCAACATGTAATGTCTCCTTATGTTTTTGTTGCTGTTTTGTTTCTGGCACATTTAGAAACAAACCAGTTTGTTTAGTTACTTAACTGTTTGGACAGTTCTTTCACCATAGTAACACTTTTAAACATCTGTTTTTAAAGGAGAAATTACAGTGCAGCACGTATCAGATCTCTGTTTGATACAGACGTTCACTTCAAGTTTTTCAGTGAGCAGCATAAAACTAAGTATTTCTTAGCTTGCAATGAATCATTTTTATTTATTTATTTATTTTTTTTTTAAATATATCTTTATTGATTTCAGTGAGAGGAAAGGAGAGGGAGAGAGAGAGAGATAGAAACCTCAATGATGAGAGAGTCATTGATCGAGCCCGCAACCCGGGCATGTGCCCTGACCGGGAATCGAACCCTGATCGCCTGGATCCCAGGTCGATGCTCAACCGCTGAGCCACGCCCGGACGGGCATTTTTTTNTCGCCTGGATCCCAGGTCGATGCTCAACCGCTGAGCCACGCCCAGACGGGCATTTTTTTAAAAAACCATTTTAAGCTAAAAGATCCTGAATGCAAAAGCATTTTCAAAACAGTTTTTATTCTTTTTCTGGAAATGTAAACTTGATCAAAGGAGCTACCCGGCGATAAGGAGCGAGGGTTTCGTTTTCAGATTAGAAACTTTAATAAAGTTACAAGAACTTAGATACTGTCTTCAGTCCTCTAATTTCTTCCAACTTTCAGGTCGGTTTTCATCTGTTTTGGTTTTACTTTATTTTGCAGGTGAGGAAGCCCCTGGTTCTGTCACTTTTCTTTATCAGATCACCAGAGGAATGGCAGCGAGGAGTTACGGACTGAATGTGGCTAAGCTGGCAGACGTTCCTGGAGAAATTTTAAAGCAAGCAGCCAGCAAGTCAGAAGAGCTGGAAGGATTAGTAAATATGAAGAGGTCAGAATGATTGTGTTGCTTTTTTTTATTTATAACGAAACCTTCCAAGTTTTCCAAGGAAGAGGCTTGTCCTTGGTCCTGTACGTGAGCATCTCTACCTTTAAGTACCTTTTCAGACACAAACATTTAATCACAGTGAAATGGAAACAGCTCTCCTGAAGCGCGTGAAATTCAGCCTGCTCCTCTAGGCAGATTGTCATCTAGGAAGCTGCTAAATTGTTTTTTCTGTCATTTTTTCTAAAGAATTGTTAACTCCTTAATGTGTGCCAACACATTAGTTGCTTAAAACATTCATTTGTACAGAAAAATTACTAAAAAAGACACACCTCAATATATAAAACCTTTGGGGTACCTCTTTCCCCCCCACACATTACATTCAGATATGCAGTGGTTGCCCAGAGATTAGGACGTCTGTCAGGACAGAATGGAAATAGTATTATGTATCTAGGCAATCCTGGACAGTATCTACATGTCACTTTGTGGGTTTGTTTTTGACAAATTTTTCATTCTAAACCCAGCTTCTCTCTGTCCCTAGAATACGTATGTGAATGCACTCCACCCTTTACCCTGGATGCCCAGCCTGGACATAGTCAGTATATAAGCTGTTCTTAAGATGTACCCAAGATATACTTTGGAAGACATTCCTAGGAAAATATCACATAAATAAATAATAAATTACAGTATTTTGTTCCCCAAATATAAGATTATATTATCAAACCACATAAGCTCTCATCTACCTCCTGCCCCACTCCTGCTCGGCCTGGAGATTCTGAGTTGCCTGGGGGTAGGTTGCTGGGCGGGTCGTGGGCAGCCTCTGAGATCCCTGCCTCCTGGTGTTCACGCGTCACCCCCTCTCCTTGAGTGCAGGCCCGACCCAGTGGCCTGCTTCCATGAGCAAAATACGGCAGAAACGATGGGATGTCACATCTGAGATTAGACACAAAAGATCGTGGCCTGTCGGGGGCTCCTGCTGGCTCCGAGGGAAGCCAGTGGCCCTGCCGTGGGCTGCTGTGTGCAGAGGCCCACATGGGAAGGACCTGCCTCTGGCCCGCAGCCCGTGAGGGCCCGGCGGCCGGCCAGCAGCCGCTGCAGGCCGGGAGGCGCCAACCTGAGGCCCCCAACAGGAAATCGTGACCACATTTTTTTATTTTTTTTTTAAATATATCTTTATTGATTTCAGAGAGAGGAAAGGAGAGGGAGAGACAGAGACAGAAACATCAATGATGAGTCACTGATCGGCGAGCCCGCAACCCGGGCCTGTGCCCTGACCGGGAATCGAACCCCGATCGCCAGGATCCTAGGGCGACGCTCGACCGCCGAGCCCCGCGCCGGGCCGTGACCACACTAAGTGTTGATACACAGTTCAGTTACCGGAACAGTTGCCCACTGTGCTGACGTGCAGCTGTGCAGCGCGGCTCCGCCTCCCCTGCGGCTCCGCCCGGGCTCCGCGCCTCGCGGTGCGGCTGGGCTGCAGGCGACGAGCGGCTTTCTCTCCTGGGTCGTCTGTGCAGCGCCAGATTAGGAGGGGTGGTGTAATCAGCAACAGCCTATTTCTAATTATAAATATTTGTAATTATTCTATTTGTAACTATTGTTACAAAATAGTTAATACAAAATTTTTCCAAAGAGAAAAGGAATTATCTGTGTGTTTGAAAATAAACTTAGCCCTAAGCGAAATAAGCCAGTCAGAAAGACAAGTACCACATGATCTCACTTATATGTGGAATATGATAAAATAAACTAATGAACAAAACAGATCGAGAGACACAGAAGCATGGAAGAGACTGAGGGATCGCAGAGGGAAGGTGGGGTGGGAGTGGGGAGAGATTAACCGAAGAACTTGTGTGTCTATAAGCATCACCCACGGACACAGACCTTGCTATGGGGAGGGCCTGGAGGGGGTACAGGGTGGAGGGGATCAATGGGGGTTAAAAAAGGACATCTGTAATACTTTCAACAATACAGATAAATTTTTTTAAAAAAGAAAAGCTTAGCCCTAGTTCTTTGCAAAGTCCAAAGACAACTTTAATTCCTCTTTGGTTGTCTTAACTATGATTTTCCTTTTTCCCTGAAGAAACTAGAATAAAACTTTACTACAAAACATGCACTGCTGGGTGTCAATAGAATATATTTTATACTTGTTGCTACTATATAGCCTGTAAATCAAGAGTGATAAAATTCACAGGTGACTTACAAATAAATATTTTAACCCTTCCAACTACTGTGTGGCATTCTGAAATCTAGAAAGTTACCTTGACAAACAGAGAATTGTAGGAAAAGGTTGTGTTGGGATAAAATCTGCTGACTTATCAGGACATGATATTTATTATTTTACCTTTTCACTAAAAGTGCTTATCTCATCAGCTCCGTGGGCCAGATCCTGTGCGTTGATGGGGGTTGGTTACAGTGCTAATACCTGCTGAATGGAGCTGCGGCGTCTGCAGCAGCCTGGACCGGCCTCAGCTCCTGTTCCCGCTGCTGTGTGTCCATGAGCCCATTTAGTCCGCGGCAGCCCGGGGAGAGGGGCTGCTGTAGGCCCACGTGGCGGGTGGGAAGCTCCCCGAGAAACCGGGTCGCCCGGGAAGCTAGTGGCCGGCAGCGACTGGAACGGAGAGACCGCTTCGGACCCAGACACACAGCGGGGTCGCTCTCTGCAGAAAAAAGCAGGGCTGTGTTGGCACTTTACCCGTTAGTTAGCTTTATTTTATTAAATCAGTTTTATTTTTTATCCTGTGAGCACACTCAGCCTCTGGCTGAGTTAGAAGAGGGAGGAACGGAGGCGGCCCTGAGAACCCCCGACGCCACACCAGCCCCTCCCGCCCGCAGCCCGGGTGGGGTCTGATGTCCCGGCCGCAGAGCTTCCGGTGAGATGTGCTTTTCCCCAACATTTCATTTATAAAGTAAATAGTGTTTTATTTTCTCTCCAGGAAAAGGCTAAAGTGTTTTACAAAATTCTGGACAATAAAGGATGCCAAAGACCTGCGGACGTGGGCAGATGAGTTTGAAGTGGAAGGCATGGCAGACTCCTGATTAAAGTGAAGACTACGTTTCAAATGAAAACTAGAGAATTGACACCAACTGTGCAGAGCAGCCCCCCTCTGAGCGTGAAGCAGGACGTGGGACGTTCCTGTGGGAAACGGCATCAGTGTCGAAGGTCTCCCTCGGTCCTGGCGCCCTGGTTTGAAGTGTAAACGCTTGTGAATATTAAGACTTGTGTTCTGTAATTAGAAAACCTCAGGGACGGTAAGCTTCACATAAAATCAGAACCTGGAGGAAGCCTAACGTGGTAGAATATAGTGCATGAGTGTGTAAGGAGTGACCTAAAAACTTAATTTATATTTTTATCTGTTTCAGTTTAGATAACTTGCGACTGGGTGAAATGTCTGGTAAGACTCTCCCTTTTCACTTGAACTAAAGTAATTTTATAATCCACCCCTTTATTCACTCTGGGCTTGAGTATTTTTGATAAGAAATGGACTTATCAAGCGTTTAGAAACGAGCACAGGTGGAATAAAGTCATATGAAATTTGAAATNACCCCTTTATTCACTCTGGGCTTGAGTATTTTTGATAAGAAATGGACTTACCAAGCGTTTAGAAACGACCACAGTCATATGAAATTTGAAACGTTAAGTATGGTCAGTTTTCAGCAATTTAAAGATTGTTGGATGAAATTATCTGTCATTCGTTCAAATAATAAACATTTAATGAATACTTGCTATAAATTATAATTTCTTTGTTGAATTTTGGGGTTTTCAACTTTCTGGCAGTTACTACTTTTAAAGTTTAATTATGGAACCAAGATTGTCTCCCACGAGGCGCACAGCCCTGGGCCGAGCAAGCTGGGCCCTGGTCAGGCAGGCCGCGGCTGTGCGGCTCCGTGCTGAGTCGCACCCTGTGGGTTGAGGGCAGTGCCCGCGCCCTGGTAGGCGCAGCACCTGCTCGCTGTGTTCCTGAGGTTTCACAGCACTTACATCTGGCTTCTCAGATCCATGCATCTTTCGTTTCTAAATAAATGGCCTGCAGGAAGGCTGCCGTCCCGTTTCCCACAGTTACTGCCGCTCAGTTAAACGCCTCCCACACACATTTGATGGGTGTATTTCTAATTCCTCCGTTAGATTATTTCCTGCAGTGGCCCTGGCAGCGACCCCGGACGTGGGAGTCAGTGTCGCTCCCCAGGCTGACGAAGGGTAGTCGGTCGCCACACTTTTCAGCCGCTCGCCTTTCCGGAGAGAGTGTGATGTAGTTCGATTGACCCACCGCCCCTCCAGAAATTCTCAGAAATGTTTCAAAATAGACTTAGTTGGGATTTCCTCTTTAAATTTTAAAAAAGAACAATACTTGTTGGTGTTTCAATGCTCTATGTGACTGAATGTTTTATATTCTTTCTAACAAGTTTACCATCGGGGGGATATCCACTCTGGTTTGCCTGGGACAGTCCTGGCCTGTACCTGTTTTCCTGGCATATTTATTAAAAGCCTCTTTTACTCTCAAGCATCCTGTTCTGAGTAATAAATGATGTGGTTTCCCCAGCTAAGGTGCTGGTTCACAGGCACACTCACTGCCTTGATAGGTTTTGAATGTCGTCTTAAAAAATCTATTTTTTTCTTGCCCGTTGTACTGATTTTTATCCCCAGGCCTGCCACTTGCTTTGCCTGTTCAAAAGAAATACTCAGCTGCAGCGTTTAGAAACTACAGCTCTGCTGCCTGGCACCGTAGAGCTCCACTGCCTGGCCTGCGTCTGAGACGACCTGCAGCTTCCATGAGGCCACGGTGAGTGTGCCCCTGCGCGACTTCACGGGCCACGTCGCAGGGCGCCTTCCTGCAGAAACCACCTCGCTGCCTCCCTCGCTGCCTCGCCGCCCCCCCGCTCTCCTTTTACACAGGACACTCTCGCTTCTCCTGCAGAAATACGGGGCCGTTCTAACCTGCTGCTCAGCCCCAGGCTCCGTTTCTAACATCCTCGCTCTGTGAAGCTCCCTCGCTGGACGCAGGGCTGTCCCTCCCTCTGGCAGAATCTCCTAAGGAAGTTTTTAAGCACATTCCTGGGCCCCACTCTAGCTCTGCTGAGTCTGAATCTCTGAGGTCGGCACCCAGCAGGAACATCAGCCAGCGTTCGTTTCTGTGCTCGTTTCTTCCGTCCCATTTTCTCTCCCCTTTCCCTTTCTCATTTCTCCCTACATTGTTAATAATCTTATCTGTAAACGAATTTGCTAAAAATCATATTTCTTGGATCATAACCCCTCTCCAAGATTCTGATTCAGTAGGTCTTGTGTGGGGCCCAGGAAACTTTATTAATAAATTTTTTAAGTAGACTTTTTTCTGGAGCAGGAAGTCGAGCGAGGTGCCATCTACCCGTCTGCGCACAGCGTCCCCGCCAGAGGGGACGTTTGGTTGAGCTGACCCCCTCCGTGGCCACATCACTCAGCCGCAGCATCTCCATCGGGCTTCACCCTCGGCGTTCAGCACACTGGGTTTGGACAACAGCGCCCGACGCGTCACAGAGCGCTCACTGCCCTGAAAACGCTCGGTGCTCCGCCCGGCCTTCTCTTCCTCTTCTCTAACCCCTGACAACCGGTGATTCTTTACTCTCTTTATAGTTTGGTTTTTCCCAGAATGTCCCAATGTTGGGATCATACAGGATGTATCTTTTTCCGATTGGCTTAGTTCACTTAGTAATACGCATTTAACTTTCCTTGATGTTTTTTCATGGTATGAAAGCGCATTTATTTTTAGCACTGGAGTAATATTCCATTCTCTTGATGAATTAAGCTGCTGTAAATGTGTGGTGTTTTGTGGGATATAGTTTTCTTTTTTCTTTTTTAATTGTTGAAAGTATTACAAATGTCTCCTTTTGTCCCNATATGTGGTGTTTTGTGGGATATAGTTTTCTTTTTTCTTTTTTAATTGTTGAAAGTATTACAAATGTCTCCTTTTCTCCCAATTGACCCCTCCCCAGCCCCTCTCCCCACCATTGTCCATGTCCTTGGGTTGTTCATATCTGCATAT